CAGTTTTTTAGTTGTATCAATCAATATAGTATGTATATGAACTGAATAATAATTTTTTTAATACTTTTAAAATCGTTTTTCAATATCATGTATATGTATACATTATAATAATATTTTACTCCTACAAAGCAATACATTGCCTTAGGAACGTTAAACACAATAAAAATATTTACAACCATTACAACTTGGAAATATCTAATCAGTTGATCATATTAATATCAAACATCATAATGGTATATAATCGCTTTGCTGTAATGTACGAACAAAAATCATAATGGTGAAATATTTTTTAATTTATCGTTGACAGATTTTGACGATTTTTAAAACAGATGTTGATTACATTAAATAATAAAAGTCGAATCAAAACAAATATATTAATTAGTACTAGATCAATAAACTAATATAGATAATAGCTAAGTTATAATTTAAATCAAATCATATAAGTATGCGTCTTTTTTTTTCTATTGACATATTGATATAATTTAGGATTTTATTTATTAAAATTCTAAATCTAAATGAATTAAACATTTAAAAGGTAATGAAAAAATACTATATTTATAAAGAAGTTAAAACTTTAATAAAAATAATAGAAGAATACAACATTTATTTGGCTTTATTATCTTATTATTATTTATCTTAAAACATTAAAAAAAAAAAAAAAAAAAAATGTTATTTTCAGCATTTTAAAGAGGATATTTTTCTTTGTAATAAAACATTATTAATATAATATTCTCTAATAATAACTGTTTATTAAAGTATACTCTAAATTATAAATCTTATTACACATATAATACGAATATATTAAATAAATGTTTTTTTTTTTATATTTTGTAGTCATATGAATACCTAGTACTAAAGCATACAATTGTGCGTTATAAAATCGACGACAGGAAAAGGAATATGACTATTTGAAGAATTTTCTTAACATGGTGTATTTGTTAATTTAAATAATACGAGACGCTCACCGCATGCAAAACACACGCATTGTTGTAATTATGCAAATTTCCGAAGAGTACAGATTCACCCCACGTGTTATTATTGTTAAGACCCCTACGGAAAAACTAAACGATATAAATGACGCTCAATGCATTATAATGCGCCGGCAGTGTAAATTTATTATTTTTAACATATCATAATTAGAGCCACACCAATATTTATTTTTGATTTAACATAATATCCTAATATATAACTTTTATATATAAACTTTTCATCAAATCATTAATTACAATTTCAACATTAAACCAACTATAATAAATTATAAATTTATACATGGAATTGTAGTTTTTATCAGTGCATAAACATTTATTTTCATTATATTCGCACACCCAGGCTAATAAAATGTGATTTTTAGTGAATTTTTCTGAATTCATCAGATGTGTTAACACAAAAAAGGAGAAAATAAATTGTTAGTCCATATCGATGAGGAAGCCCTAAGGGGAACTTTTAAAAGAAAAATAACGTAGAACCGTTATATCCATGTGTTGTTATTTTCGTTTCCAGTTTCTACACCCTTTATATATACTTCTTCACCTCATTGGCGCAATCGTTAACAAACGGGATCATTATTTACTTTGGACTTGACGGTAAAGGAAATTGCGCCACACGAGAGATCTTTTTATGGTCAGAATAAATTGGCAAGTTGAGAATTCTGTCATGAGATTGAAAAAAAAGCAGCTACCACTTCCAAAAATCTGTTATTGTTTCATTTCAGTTTAGCTAGATGTGCCAAATATATTTCAAACGAAGATCATATAGAAATGTAACATTTTAACTTCACATAAAACTTTATTATACTTATTTTTACTGTTTATACTGTTTTTATTTGACTACTCGATTCCATCGAACAACAGGAATCAAATAGGTAACATATAATATACAAAATAGAGTAAAATAGATCAATGGTTCTCAACCTTTTTTATTATAGGGCCCCTTACATTTAATGTAAAACTATCCAGGCCTCCCTCAATCAAAATCATTAGTTATTTATTGTTAATGATATACTAAATTTACATGCACTATTTTACACAACTAAATTATTAAAATGGAAAGAAAATAAAAATGTTTTTTAACATATTATTGAAGTATAATCTTATAATTGTATAAAACATAAAACATAAATAAACAAAAAATAATTCGTAATAACTGTAAAGCAATACAAAAATATTCAATAATAATGTTGATTTGGTTTCAAACAAAAGCTAGGTTAATAATAATAAAAAAAAATGTTATAATTATTAATGTGATGGTTGGGCTTGTATATTTTCGCATAGTATGTCAGGTGTGATATTTGAAACTTAAATACGCAAGTTTGCTTCTAAAGATGGTTATGAAATGCATAATCTATGTTTGTTTTTTATAGTTTAAAGTTGTGAAAATACAGTTTCACAAAGATATGTCAATGCGAAAGGTATCAATATAAGTAAAGCTGCTTTCGAAATTATTCGATACTCTTGTTGTCGTCTTAACCAAAATGTAGTAAGTTCTTTTTCATTAAATTCAGTGTCAAGAACTTTAAATTTAATAAATATTTCACGGCCCACCAATAATATAACCAGGGCCCCCAGGTTGAGAAGCACTGAAATAGATAGTTCAAAACCGATATCTTTGATTACTCGCATTCAAGTTAAACAAAATAAATTTTCCTTTTGATCAATTAGTTAATGATTTTTATATTGAAGCTCTCACAAGTAGAAGGAAATTTAATGATATATCTTGATTACAAAAATTATTAAATTCTCAAATTGATTTTCCTGAAATACTAAGTCAAATACTCCTAAATAGTTTCTTAAATAATACTCGTACAACACATATATTTTATACTCCTACTTATCGTAAAAACTACAGTAAATTTGCTCTAATAAATAGAATGAATTTCAGGTAATTTAATAGAAAATTTTGATTTATTTTATGATGATTCAGCAAAGTTAAAATTACTATTCAATATTAATATAACTATGTATTACTTTGTGATTGTTTTTATTGTATTGTATAATTATTTATTTTAATTTTATACTAGTCACTAATGGCCATCTTAATTAACTTGTATTTCATTTTTAACACAATATTTGTTGAGCTTTATTAGGTATATATTGATATTATTATATTATATTTTATTATACTGTATTATAATATATAAATTATTATAAATAAATAATTTCTAATAATAATACTATATACTATATAGTAAAAATACCAATAATTAATGCAATACTGCCGATAAATGTCAACCCTTACAGAGATGCGTGGACGATAAAAAATTAATGTCATATAACTAAAAACTTTCTCATATGGTATCTATAACCAACACCAATAGTGCATAAATTGTTATGAGTAAGACCAACAATACTCTAAATCCATAAGTCGATTAGTATTTTAGATAACCAAAAATTTACTCATTATGTTTATAGCCAAACATATTTCTAATAGCCTGAATATGGGCGATATATACAATACATTAGATATTATAAACAAATAACCTTTATAGTACGATTGACTATATAACACGTTATTAGAGTTTGATGAACTAGGTAATACGTTCACCGTATTGGTATGTTTACACTCGTACGCTTTTTAGTTTGTTTGATGCATCATAACTAGTGCACCACTAGTTGAAAACTTTGCAATAGCGCATGCCCTTTCGAGTTGAATGGTTACATTTTCGTGATGCACGCTACAACGCACGGTTTTCCGCGTTCAATGGGAATTTGTTCAACATGCCGTGCTTTTTATATTGCGTTTCACTCCAGTAGCTAAATACCATATCGTTATTAACAATAATAATTTTATCTGGAACAGTCTCTCTAAAACGAGTGTTTTCTTTTACTATTTTTGATTCAATTATATTTAATATCGAGTAAAAATTTGATCTAGATATTCATATAAAATTTTTAAATAAAGTATCTCGTATAGTTGCAAAACATCTACAATTCCAAAATTTTGAGTTTTTAAATAATTATTTACCCGCAAAGAACGCTTTTTCCTACGTTTATTATTTGTACTTGGAATAATTAAGTAGACAATGTATATACAATATAATCTGTACATAATTATTGAATATTTTTAGTTCTTTAATAAGTAACGTACTTAGATATAAGATACGTGAAAATTAAGTTTTCTTGGAAACGATGAATTATTTTTACATTATTATGTTATAAATATAATAAAACCGATAAATATTTTATTAATTTAATTTAATTTAAATGTATAATAATATTTTTGAAATATATGTAAATATGTATAGAAATTAAAATTGTAAAATTTTTTGTATGTTTAAGTAAATAATAGTTAAATATTTTGGAAAAAAATTTCAATTTTTAAAATAATGATAATCTAGTATAATCTTAATCATAATATTCCATTAAAAAAAATGTACCTGTGACCCTTCGTTTGAATATTACTTTTATAACAACCAAATTAAATGCCAAACGTTGACCCTAGAAACCACTAGACACCACTAGAAAAAAAAACGTTCAAGTTTTTCTGGACAAAACGGTAGTAAAAGGTTGAACTTACCTGAGTGGTATTTAATATAAAAAAATATTATGTGTAGAAATAGCAGGGCCGAAGCAAGGAGAGCGAGAGTTGCCCACGGCACGGACAAAATTCCTAGAAGGGAGCAAAAATGAAAAAATTGCATTCTATAATAAAAATTGCAATGGTAAATGTTGGAAATTTTATTTACAAAAATGTCAACGTTATTTATATTAATTGAAGCAATTTTTGAAAATACTATCTATTAATCATAATATTTTTAAATTAAAAATACATGAGGGAGCATTTTCAAGTTTTTATCCGGGCGCAATATTTGATTGCTACGGAACTAACAAAAATGTAAAACCTAGGAACAATGTATACTTTTTAATATCAACACGATTATTAACCGACATGTGGTTAATGAGTTCGTAAACGTATTCTGACTAATTAAAATATATATATAATTTTTATCGCAAAACTAATATCATAAATACATTTAAATAAAATAACTAGTTCTACGAATTTACCTGCAGCTGGAGATAGTTTGGTCATAACGCCCCATCTGTGTCTCCACTGAAACATTAAAGAAAAAAAATAATACAATTATTTAACAGTCTATGTTTTTTATACTGTTACGTATAATCATAAATAATCTCGGATAAAAATTGCATCATTATTTATATATTGATACTGAATATTTTATAAATACTATACATGCATAATATGCATCGATATATGAAACGTCAAAAATATGAAAACTAGGGTATTTTTGGCAACTCAATGAAATTGTATAATTGAAATTATTTATGGGTATATAGCCTAAGAGTACATGCGATATCATATTTACATTGGAAAAATAATTTAATGCATACATACGAGTATAACTATAAACTGAATTTAAGAAAATGTCAAGAATTATAAAAAAAATGAATAATATTTTTTTCTTTGTGAATTATGCGAACCATGCAAACATCAATATTTAATAAAAATATATTGATAACTAATCCATGTTTTTACATTTTGAAGTCAATTTCTTAACAAAAATCAGCTCGTAAAAGATTAGCTTTAATTTACCAGGAATGGTCGGATATATTACTAGAACACTAAAATTATCACTTATGTAATTATTTATCGGTGATAATATTAAATATACAGATTATAATATTATGGTCGATGGAAGTAAGCAAACCGATATCATTGAAAGTTCACTTCAAGATAAAATGATAGTCGTGAAAAAATTATATTCAACATTATAATAATGAACAGGAATACAAATATCAAATCAATTTAATCAAAATATATAAAACAGTTTTAACTTTTTCTACATGTATATAATTTTTAGCTCTAACTTTATCTATTTCTTCGGCACCATGTAAGAGGCAATTTTCGACAAAGAAACGTGTCACTAAATGTATATAGTAAATTATGGCACCAAATTGTTTTTCATTCGATCCAAGTAAAATATTATATTTTTATAGTATTTTAAATATGTACTAATAAAGTAACAGACATTCGAAATTACAGTAAAAAAAAAATTAATCTTATATTCACCTAGACTATGGTATTAATTTATTTTTTCTAATTTATGGACGTCATGAACATTAATTTAACTATTAACTATTAATTGAACGATTATGGTGGTTGTGTGGTGGAATATCGAACGTTACTCGTTACCGAAGTTACCGTAAAGTTTATTTCATCTTGTTTCCAAACGTACGGTAACTTACTGTAATAGATTTTACGGTAAAACGAGACGTACAACCGTTTTTACCAAGGCCGGATGGGGGCAGTAAATTGATAACACGTTCGTGGTATGTGGTATTGGTATCGCGGCGTTTTAAACAATACGCGGTACGATAACAACGCACGCAGCACGGTTTAGTGTGTACCAAGCTTCAGGCGTTCGCAGTAACGGTTACCGGTACGAAAACGTCGCGATTCCGCGCACAGCGATGCGTGTTTTCCACGCATACGGCGGCAGCGGCGGCGGCGGCGGGGTATCGTCGTTAGAACTATCAAACGCGTCGACCACACCCCGCGGAGTTCCGGTGATCGCCTTAGTTTCTTCTGTGGTGGAGTATGTATGTGAAGGCGACGGGGGAGAGGGGGGCAGAGAAAACGACAGTACTACAACGCCGTGTTGGCGACTTTTACCCAAAACTTTTCGACCGAGAGACGCATTACGGGTCGCGGCGATGATTTTTCACACCGCACCAGCCGCTGCTCGACAAAACCGAACACGAGACGTGCGTGTGTTGTTACGTACCACCTGGCTCTCGAACTGCAGCAAACGGACGGTACTTCAATGTTTACAAATTATTTAAAGACTTGCGTTTCCGTAATTTTATCGGGATCATACACGAGCGTTGCGAGTTGAACTGCTACAACTATAAAAGTGACGTCAAGATTCTTCTTATGGTGTCCGGAGTATAAAACTCGCCCGGTTTAGTGTTGATTACGAGCCGTTCCGCTACCTCCTCAACGGTACACGTCGACATTGACGTCGAAAATCGTAGCCATAATTAATATGGGCTTGTCGAATTCACCGTGTGCGTCTATCAGTGCTAGACGAGACGTATGTTGAGATATGTGATTTATAAATTATTTCAGGAATATATGCGTACGAATATTGATGTGAAAACATGAATTTTAAACCTTAGGATTAAGATCCTTAGTGTCAAAAAATGCAGATTCTCTTTTCAATAAAAAAACATTATGTAAAAGCATTGTTTTACTAAGTTATTTTAAACTGTTCCGTTTTCCTAGAAGACCCAGTACAAAGGACTCCGTAAAGAACAACTCGCTATTATCTACTTGAAATCACACATGTATATCACTTAATATATAAGCTTCCTGATGATGATACCACCGTAATAATCAGAATACGGTTCATCATCTCTTACGCCATCGTACGAAAATAAATATTACAAACAACGATACGGTACGGCATACAGCTGAAATGCATGCATATATGTTTATGCATTTTTGAAAGTTCAAATCGTTTAGCAATTATTTTTTTTTTAGAAAACATTCGTATATGCTTCGAAATATGAACGGGGAATATGACGTCGGTCTATCGATTTAAATATGCTAATTCCTTATGGTGAAAATATGAAGACGGTAAAAAAGATATTTTGAATCGTGCGTTGAGTATTATGATGGATAAGAAATCTTTCTTATATACAAAATAAAGCAGTATCACCGTTGATAGTATAATATCGTATTTATTTTTTTATATAGTCAATATTATTACTTTTTTAGGAATTCACTAAATTCAGTTTGATCACGTGGAACCGATAACTCACCCAAATACATACCAAAGTTAGAGTGTTAAATATTTTAGACATTCGTGTTACGTTAACGAGCGATTCATTTTTTTTCACAAACATAGATCTGCATAAGGTGCGATAAAAAAAATACGAATTTGCTTTTGATTTTTATCTACATTAATTTATATATATATAATCAATTTACAAGCAAATGTACAAACAATGTATTGAAAACTGCAATTTTGTAAACAACAAATATATAAACATCGCACTCGTTACTATGATGATTGCAAAGTTTTAATTTGCAAATACTAGTATTATAATTTTTATATCTTAAACATTTAAAAATAAAAGTTTTACATTAAGGCTGAATCAATTCTAAGTTTATGAAACTACTTTATTATTTTGGAAACTTGGGGATTGGTAAAAATATCTTATCTATTATAAATTGTAAACCTTTCTCCAGAAATTTAAACTTAAAAATATGATAATTATAATTTATTACTGATTTATTAATTATAATTAACAAATCAATAACCTAATATTAGATTAGTTATGCACATTGAAGATTTTATAATTATAATACCTTTGAAGTTAAATTTGAAACTAGATAATTATAGAATTTGGTCAATAATAAAAAAATAAATTAATAATTTATTTAATGAATTGAACAATTTAATTTCATGTTTGTAAAATATAAATGTTTTCTAAAAAGGAAATAACCATAAATTATTTAAGTATTTTAATTATTACACTGAAATTGGTAAAAATATAATTTTTATATTAATGGTAATAAATTTTATTGTCCAACAAAAAATATAATAAATCGTTAAAAAAGTAAAAACGAAATTATGATTAGATCGGTGCAGTATTTTCGGAATCATTTTAAATCATTGTACAAGCTTAGACACAATTAATATTTTTACCATAAAAATGTCATTAATACAATATTTATTTGAACAATAATATGCATATTAAATAAATCGAATGCAATTAAAAAGAGACATTCTAATTTAAATGCAATTAATATGATTATATCATACCAAAATAATAATACAAATACTGTTTAATTACATAAACACGATTACCTACGTTAAGTTGTTAAGTTAATATATGATGATTGTCGATTGAAGATAACCAATGAACTTAATGAACTAATAATGCTAATGACAAAGAGGATAAAAAAAAAAAAAATGACTAAGTTGATTATCAATAGATTTTTAATTTTATACGCATTTCACATTATTGTTGGCCTACCGAAAATAAAGATAAATATAGAGCTGTCAGTGAAATAACATTTTCAAAAATATAAAACACTTTATAAATTAATAGAAGACCATAGTAATACAATTTTTCTTCTATTAAAATCAAAATTACAACTGCTCAGCTAAAAGTCAAACGCAAAATCATTACGTACTAATCTCTCACTTACCGTTTATAAAACCCTTATTATATTTAAGATGGATTTTTAATTTATAAATATCCTCTAAAGCTTATATGCCATTATAAATATACGATATTCAAATATAAAAAGATTGGTTTAGACCTTTAATACTTATACAGTTCAAACTATCCTATCACTCTGTCTTCGAACTATATTATGGTTTGCTCCTTGGTGAATCACTAATTTATATAAAAACATCAAAATATATACGATAAGCAAATCAAAGAGCTACAATGTTTTACACAAAAAATTTCATAATAAACCTTAAAATCTCAAGACCACTAATACTCTCACAACAAAAAACTCACATATAACATACTAGGTTCTTTCTAATACACATCGAAGGTTAAAAATTACCTGGTGCAGAAACCTTTATTTAATTTCTTCGATAGAAATTACTATTATTGGTTTAGGATTTCGCGTTGGATAAGTCTACTCAATTTATTTGTATTTCAGCTATAAATTATTTATTTTCTTTAATTTATTCATTGCACAAACTACAGATATGCATTTATAAAAATATATGGATTCATAAAAGTCCGTATAATATATGTATAATCTAATTATAAATAAAAACAATTTTATTACCAATAAAAAAATACAATTAAAATCAGTAAATTGTATATTAAGTTACCAAATTTATTATAATTTATATAACCATTATAAGATAATAATATTTATTTTTTTCTACAATAAAATAAATACTTTAGGGTAGCTAGATTTAATTTTTAGAAATCTGGACACCAATATTCATAAAAAATAGGTAATTATCTAGTAAGTATCTAATGACATAGGTATTTGTATAGGTACAACTTTTAGGTATAAATAATATTCAAATTAATCAATTAGATAGGCCATCT